GCCTTTGAGGATTGATTAGAGGGATAGTTAACTACAATTTGCTTCATGACTATTTTTGAAATCTTTACTACTTCAAGGTAATTAATTAAAAGAAAGTTGGTGCATGATTTTTAATCGATTAAGAAGCTTTAGTATTACATTGTTTCTCTAAGGTCCCGTTGATTTGACAATTGAAGAAATTAGACTTTTTACAATACTTAAAGCAATTGATTTGTCCATGATACTCCAATATGCTCTTTCTAATTGTTTATCTAACGGCAAAGGGCCAAATATACCCCTCTACTTTCGAAAATGGTCTAAGAATACCCCTCGTTATACTATTGGGTTATCTATACCCTTGTTGTAACGACCCAACCGGTCGTTTCGACTTTTAGAATTCCGTTCCCTTAAATAAAACTCCCTGAATGTGTTTTTAATGATTTATGACTTGTGGGGATGGTTGGTTCGGGATTTGGATGTGTTTGGATTGAAATCGGAACATTTGGTTCCTTAAGTTAACCTTAAAAGGGCAAGTTTGACTTCGGTCAACATTTTGAGAAAACGACCTCGAAATCGGGATTTGACGGTTCCACTAGGTTCGTATGATGATTTCAGATTTGGGCATATGTTCGAATCGGGTTTTAGATAACCCGGGAGCGTTTTGGCGCTTAATAGTGAAAATCAACTATTTGAAGGTTTAAAGTTCTTTAAAATTTGTTTGGAGTAGGTTTTTGAGTAATTGAAATCCGTTTTGAATTCCGAATTTGGGAATAGTTCTGTATAGTAATTTAAGACTTGCACGCAAATTTTCGTGTCATTCCGAGTAGTTTAAGTATACTTCGGCGCATTGGAAGTAAATTGAAAAACTTGAAATTCCTAAGTTTGAATCAATTTGGTTTAGGGTATGATTCTTAGATTTGATGTTGTTTTATACGTTTCGAGAGTTCGAGCGAGTCCATTTTATGATTTCAAACTTGTTGGTATGTTCGGGCGGGGCCCCGGGGGTCCCGAGTGTTAACCGGACGAGACTCGGACCAATTTTGAGAAATTGAGCAAGGACTGAAGCTCCCAGCTACTGTCATAATCGCACCTGCACTTGGACAGCCGTAGGTGCGAGCCACCAATCGCAGGTGCGAACGAGAGAAACCTGCCCAGCCATCACAGATGCGAAGCATTTGGCGCACCTGCGAACGCGCAGGTACGATGGCCTTGGGCGCAGAAGCGGAAAAATGCGCAGGTGAGAAGGGATGGGCGCACCTGCGCTTGCGCAGAAGCGAGCATTTCTTCCGCAGGTGCGGAACCAGGAAAAGAAGGAAAATGTGCACCTGCGAGGAATTTCCGCAGGTGCGAAAGCCGCATGTACGGTACTCCTTCCGCAGGTGCGAAAAATCAGTCTGGGCAAAACCTTAAAACGAACGAAAACTCAGTCCATTTCTTTCTATTTTTCATCCATTGTTGGACGATTTCAGAGCTCTTTGTGAGGAGTTTTCAACTAACAACTTTGAGGTAAGTTAATTCTACACCCCTTGAGTTAAATACATAGATTATAAGTAGATTATAACTAGTAAATCTTAGAAATCAAAGATTTAGATGAAAAATCTAGATTTTTATAAAAATGAGATTTTAACCACGAAAATAGTTATGAAATTGGGTAGAAATTATATATTTAAGTTCTTGAGATTATGGGTAACGTTTTCATCCAAAAATTTTCAGAATCCGAGCACGTGCGCCTGAGTTGAATTTTAGGAATTTTACCATTTTGGATAAGGTAGTTTATTTAATAGATAGATTTCGAATCATTTAGCATATATTAATTATTTTGTATAATATTTGGATAGTTTAGAATTTTCGGCGTCGAATCGAGAATTCAACGCGACGTGGTAATCGAAAAGTGGACTTTGAGACGAGGTAAATCTCTTGTCTAATCTTGTGAGGGGGAAATTACCCCATAGGGATTAAATTGAATAATTGTTATTAATTGCAGGGACTACGTACGCACGAGGTGATGAGAGTCCGTGCGTAGCTACTATAAATACTAAAGTCCGGGTAGTTTAGGACTCAAAGCATGAATTACTTGTGTAAATTGTATTCCCTGATTTATTAATATTAAATTAATATATATGAATATATTATGAATTGTTAGATAAAGATATTAAAGGATAAAAATCTCATGTGTTTTGATTTTTTGTTTAAATTAATTAATTGTTAAAAAAAAATTGTTCTTCCTCCCAAATTTATCTTATAGTAAATATACTCTCCTTCCAGAGGTACATAAAAATGTCTTCCTTTCTTGTGGAGCGGGCCGAATGCCTCGGCAGGATAGATGCATCTATGGATCACGCTGCACGTCCCTCGGCAGTGTACACGACACTCTGGATCGGGGCGTACGTCCTCGGCAGAAATCATGCTTAATAATAATAATTACACGATACTTTAATAGTTTATTTCAGCTTGCGAAGCTAATTGATAAATTGAAAATCTTTAAAATTTAATGAATTATTATTCCTGCTTGTTAATGAATTATTGTTATTCCTGTAAATGAGACTAATTGATAAATTAAAAAATTTATTGAAATTAAATTGCAGCTTGTAAAGCTATTTGTTAAATTAGAAGTTTTATTGAAATTTCGTGATTTAATTAATAAATTAGAAAATTATTGCATTTGAAGGATTCTTATTATTTCTGCTAATTGAATAAAATTATTATTAACTCTCTGAACCATGCTGATTTGAATAATTATAATTTATTTCAATTATTATTATTGACTCATAGTAAGTGTCAAAGTCGGCTATCTCGTCTCTACCACTTCGACATTCGGCTTGATACTTACTGGGTACACGTTATTTTCGTACTCATACTGCACTTGCTGCACATTTTATTGTGCAGGTACATATATGTATAGCAGCCTTGTGGGCGCATAGGTGTGGTTAATAATTGTGGGGACATGGGTGAGCTGTATTCTATATTACGATCCGCAACTAACAGATTCTCTTTCAGAGTCATTATATTTTCCTGTCTAATTTATATTCTGGACAGATGTTGTATTTTATTTTTAATTCCCTAGTAAATGCTCATGCACTTGTGACACCGGATTTTGGGAATGGTTGTGAATTGTTTAAAAATTTAGCTGCAAAAATATTTATCATTTACTCTATGAGTTTTATTTCTACAGTTTTATTAAAGAAAATTTTTATTTCAAAAATACTAAAATGAGTAATTAAATTAATTGATTATGGTTGGCTTGCCTGACAGTGGTGTCCGACGCCATCACGACCTTAATGAATTTTGGGTCGTGACACATGTTGTCATACTTTGGGTTCAAATATACCCCTCATTTAAACGGAGGGACACGTGTCATCGTCCTTGGTCAATTATAAATATCTTCTAATTAATTAAAAAGACCCATTAATCATACCCAAAAATCAATATTTTTAAGCAATTTATTTTTTTGTAAAAACTGAAAAAAACTGAAACTATTTTTACTAAAAACTGAAAAACCCATTTTTTTTTTCAGTTTTTACAAAAAAACTGCTTTAGAAAAAACTGAAAAATATTTTCTAAAATAATATTTTTTTAAAAGCTGGAAAACAAAAGCTGAAAATTAATTTTCTAAAGCAATATTTTTTGTAAAAACTGAAATTGTTTTTTATAAACTGAAAAAACAAAAATATTTTTTTTTCCAGTTTTTACAAAAAAACTGCTTTAGAAAAAACTGAAAAATATTTTCTAAAATAATATTTTTTTAAAAGCTGGAAAACAAAAGCTGAAAATTAATTTTCTAAAGCAATATTTTTTGTAAAAACTGAAATTGTTTTTTATAAACTGAAAAAACAAAAATATTTTTTTTTCCAGTTTTTACAAAAAAACTGCTTTAAAAAGAAGCTGAAAAATATTTTCTAAAACAATAGTTTTGTAAAAACTGGAAAAAAAAACTAAAAAGCAAATTTCTAAAGCAGTGTTTTTGTAAAAACTAAAAAAACAATTTTCTTTTTTTCAGTTTTTAGTTAAAAATATTTCAGTTTTTTCAATTTTTAATTACTTTAGAAAATTTCTTTTCAGTTTTTACAAAAATATTGTTTTAGAAAATATTTTTCAGTTTTTTTTAAAGTAGTTTTTTGTAAAAACTGGAAAAGAAAATATTTTTCGTTTTTTTTTAATTTTTAGTAAAAATATTTTTTTACTATTTTTCAGTTTTTACAAAAAAAATATATTTTTCGGGAATGTATAATGGGTCTTTTTAATTAATTAGGAGATATTTAGAATTGACCAATAGGACGATGACAAGTGTCTCTCCGTTTAAATGATGGGTATATTTGAACCCAAAGTATGACTGCAGGGGTATATATAATCCAATAGTATAGCGGGAGGTATTCTTAGACCATTTTCAAAAGTAGAGGGGTATATTTGGCCCTTTGCCGGTTTATCTAAGGTTCAATTGAAGTTGAGCAGGTCAATTGCTTTAAGCTTTTATTAGCATTTTGGTGTAAAGTGAAAAATAATTTATAAAGTAGAGACCTTATAAAGTGGAACCATACAACCTATTGACTAGCATAGTTGAGACCAATACTAAAAAATAAAAATATGGTTGTTATTGGTAAAATTGTATTTAGGACTATAGAAATATTTGGAACACAAGTTTATCGGGAAAAAAAATCCCGAAAAACCCGAGAAATCCGAGAAAATCCAATACTGAAAAATCCGACTTTTGTTGGTTTGGTTTGGTCTATAGATTTAAAAATCCGATACAATTAGTTTGATTTGATAATCGCAAAATCCGAACCAAACCGACCTATGTACACCCGTATCCACGGTATATATCCATTCTAAGTATTTCCTTGTGCAATTGTTCGACTAGTAGCTTTATTCCATTCACAAAAGTAAATTTAAATTTGTACCTTTTACTTGTTATTATATACCTAATCCACTGACTTTTTTAGCCCCAAGAATCTTGCTTTTCATAATTTTAGTCTATAAATACACATAAAATTGGACCATACAAATTCATAAAATTCATACACATATCCAAACTATGTCTTATACTTGCAATTTTCCTGATATATACTCTTGGATTCAGAATTTACCACCAATTTCCAAATGGAAAACTGACTCTATTTCAATTTGTATTTCCCCTTCATGTTCATCTCAACCTTCTCTTAAACTTTCCATTACCAAAAATTTCCAATTTTGCATTATTGCAGATTATAATCTTCCTATTTCCCTATGGACTTCAAAACCCTTGAAAATTAAATCCAATTCAACAAAATTATTAGACGACGAACCCATATTTAATCTCTTGATTAATTTCATTCAAGATGTTCTTAAATATGGTCCTAACAAAAATTCTTCCTCATTTCTCAAAATCCCAAAAATGGATTTTAATTCTTGTTTTAAAGAAATTTTTAACTTCTCATTTCTTACTTTGGCTTTCATAATTTGTATTTATGAAGCTCCTATTGATCTTAGGTCTATATGTATTAATACACTTAAGAATCAATTTTCATGTCCACAATCTAGACATGCATCAAAATTGCTAGTAAAAATTTTGGGATCGAATCCTGAAGAAGAATGGATGAGATCAGTAAATTTAGCAATAACTAATTGGATTGTGGAAATTCAAGAGTCTTTAAATCATTCAATAAAAACACCATGTAAATTGTTTTCTTACTCATTTTCCACAGTTGGACTTTGGAAAGTGCAGTTGTATTGTCCTGTTATTGCAATGGATATTGACACATCTACTAGTAGTTTGTCTGATGATAATTTGAGATTTTCTCTTAATTTTCACCAGCTTGAAGGAGTGATCCAATTGAATTATAGAGTTATAATTCGAGAGAAGTGGATTGAAGTGATGGTGAACACCGACAACATTAGGTACATATTTATTTTTAATTGTTTGAATACGCTTGTACAATCAAACATTTCTATACCAGTTTCGTCTGCTTCAATCTTTTCTGATTGCTATAGTGAAGTGCAGTTATAGAGAACATAATATTATAATATAATATGAAAAATTGATTCTAAAGAAAACTTGACCGTTATAGTGAAATACTTTATAAAGGATGCATAGATATTATAGAAAGGTCTGATTATAGTACTTTTTTTAAAAGCTAATTTAGGCATTTGGTAAACACCAAAATACTTATAAGTCAAGTGTTTATAAGCCAATCAATGATTTTGGCTAATTTAGGCATTTGGTAAACACTAAAATGCTTATAAGCCAAGTGTTTATAAGCCAATCAATGAAAAGTCATAAGTTGGTTGCCCTCGTCATATGAATTTTTATTTATAAACACTCTTGTTTTTGCAAAGACTATTATTATTATTATTATTATTATTATTATTATTATTATTATTATTATTATTATTATTATTATTATTATTATTATTATTTTTCTAATATTTTTTGTAATAGCCAAAATACCATATCCGAAGAAAACCCCTAGTTTTTTCTCCATTTCATTTCCATTGTTCATCCATTTTCATATTAAGATACTTTTATATTTATATTTTATGAACAACTCAAGAGAATTTAAGTTATTTTAACACAAAAAATGCTTAATTAACAATACTCTTTTATCAAACACATAACTATTTATTATTAGTTCATCATCTTTATCCACGCATAAATAATTTATTTAGAAATTAGTTTCAGCACTTGATACTTATCCACTACTTTTAATCAGTTAAATCAAATATGTTCAATTTAACTTTTAAAAAAAAAGGCAGTTCGGTGCACAAGGTATCATGCATTCACGTAGTGTTCGGGGAAAGGTCGCACCTCAAGGGATGATATAGACAGCCTACCCTCAGGAGCGGAGCTACAATAGTGAATGTGGGTTATGGCGAACCTAGTGACTTTTTCTCGAACCCTGCATTTGCATTGAAAACTTTATTGAAATGATATAAATATACAATGACAAACCTAGTAACAAAAACACTTTGGGTTCAATAGTAAGAGTTCTGGGTTATGAGTCCAACTCATATGGACCATGTGGGTTCGATACTGCCCAGAAGCAGTGCAAGTTTTATTCATTTTAACTACGTTTCTTTTTCCTTTTTTGAAAAAACCCACAAACTTTTTACTAAGGCAAAAAAGAAAAAGACAAAAGCTCCAAAACAGCCCCACCTGTCCGTCACTTCTTTGAGAGAGTTATTCCCCAATCAAAATCAAAATCAAAAGAAAAGTGAGGGAAAGAGTTAAGGTTTTTAAAGTTTTTGTCATTACTTAAAATCAAAATCAAAAGTGCTATCTAGTTATATTTTTCTTCAAGGTCCATCCCGGCTATTCCATCTTCTTTTATTTGTTTGCCTTTCTTTTATCTTTTGACTTTTTAAGTAAATGTTACTTGATTTTAAAATTTTTGATTCCAAAGGCGAGTTTTTCATTTCGACTTTTTATATTTGTATTTGTGTGATTTCCCAAAAATCTTAGACCGATCTACTAATTTTTCTTAGCTTTGCCACGTGAATATGATTTTTGTATTAATTGAAGGGTGGACCATATATTTTGTTTTTTTTCATTACTTATAAATTTTTATAATATTTATATATGGGTTCAAAAGTTTCATTGACAAACACTAAGCGATTTAAATTCTTCATCTATTTTATTTTTATTTATTTTATTAAATCAAATTAAAGTAAGATATTCAATTTGTAATGATTGACTACAAAATAGTATTTTTAAAATAATTTTTTTTTATTTTTATAGTAATATTTGTTTAGGCTAGAAAAGGATGTGGATATTAAGCTGGTGAGGGAACTTTGCATCATCTGATAATCTTCTTCATATATTATCAAAAAGAAAAAAAAAAGTAGAAAAGCTTTTCTATGCATCTAATATTCATCATTCAGTGAGTTTTTAGAACAAATATTCATGAGATATGGAGACTTGTTTATTTGCTTAAATTTGATATTTTCTTTGGCTACTGCAATGGTAGAAAGAACTTATACTTTTATGAAGTTATGCATTAATGATAACTTTTTGAATGATTGTTTATTTTTTTATACAGAGAAGAAAATGTTGAAACTTAAAGACCTACATAATGATGTGATCATTTTATATTTTTTAAAATATGACAAGTCGTCAAGTGCAATTATAGCGATAATGTTTATAGTCATATATTGTCTTAAGTGGTCGTTACTTTTAAATATATATTAAATATTAATACTCGTTTTTTTAGTGTTATAATTGTGTATATTAGCTTGAGGTCGCGATCATGTTTTAGAATTCTGCACTCATACACTTAAAATCCTAGCTCCGTCTCTGCCTACCCTAATACAAGTACCATAGTTGCAAAAGAGTTAAACTTCAACTTGATTTGGAATGTGTTTTCAAACAGGTTTGATGTTGTTAGGCTGGTAAATGAATCACTAATGGAAGAAAGAGGAGCTGGAATATCAGAAAAGCATTTCCCTTCAAGAATTTCACTACAACTAACTCCAACACTTCAAACAAATGTGTTAAGCATCTCAGTAACCAAATCATCTGATAATCCACTAAGAGAAATTGGAATGGAAAAGTCCATTGAAGCAGGATTTGATCCTCCAAATCCTTATATGGGATTAAAAGTTTCAGCTTCAGAAACAGTTACTATGAGTATGAAACCATGGAAATTTGAGCAATCTGTTAATGGAAATGGTGCAAATTTAAATTGGTTTTTACATGATAGTGGGAATGGAAAAGAAGTATTTTCATCAAAACCATCTGTTTTTTCATTAATACAACCAAAGGCTTGGTTCAAGAATAGATATTCAAGTGCTTATAGGCCATTTACTAAACAAGGAGGGGTTATATTTGCAAAAGATGAGTATGGGGAAAGTGTAATTTGGAAAGTGGATAAAAGGGCTATGGGAAAATCAATGGAATGGGAATTGAAAGGGAGAGTTTGGTTAACTTATTGGCCAAATAAACATATCTCTTCTTATTCTGAGACTAGAAGATTGGAATTTCAAGAAGTGCTTCATCTCAACCTTGGGTAGTTATATATTTTAATTTGCTGTAATAATTATTAGCATGTATTTGTTTGGTGTTGCATAGGTATGTTTGCTTTATTAATTATCAAACTGTATTTTGATGAAGTTGTAATTGTTAAGATTATAATTCTTGTATTATATGAAACTGCTTTTTTTTTTCTTTTTAGTGTTCCTCAATTTAATGAAATAAATAGACTATGTCTAATCTCGAAATTTTCATAAACTCTTGGAAGCTTCATTAGGAGATCATCTCACAAATTTCATAAACTTGGAATATTCACAGAGAGATAAAACATCAAATAATGTCTTTACAAAACTGATGTTTGAGAAATACGTTGACCAATTCTCGAATCATGGGGAACAATCTGGAAGAAGAATCAAGAGAACAAATAAAATTATACCTACAAATATTCATCAATAAAATTATTTTCCTTCATATATATATAAAAGAGATGATGTCTAGTATAACATGATACAAAATAGTAACTTTTCCCCTAATAAGGTACTTCGAGCTGTTATTAGTTTTTATATATATATATATA